TTCTCTACAGTCTGTGTTGTTAGCCATTGTAGCAACGCTCTGTTTAAGTGCAGACATTCCCCTTTGACATCACTTCCTGTTTCTTCACATGCAAATATCTCAACAACTGTTCATCTTAGCGATGTGAAATTTGTTTTTGCAACATGTTATCAATGTTATCTTTCCAAAAATGCATTCATATTTATTACAAGAGTTTGTTGCCACAGGCACTTTAAGGCTGTTTGAACATAAGCAGCATTTCCTGTAACATCTTTCCCAGTCTGCTGCCCCCCCCACCCCCTGACTGGCAGTTTGACCTCCTGACCTCTTCCTCTCGGGTGGTTTTCATGTTGTCTGCCTGTCTGCACCCCGCTGGGCCGCTCCGTGTAGCGCTCCACCTCAGATGGATGTAGTCATGTACCCTCGGATCACCCGCCATTCGTCAGGCCTCGCACTGATTCACGGGGGTCGTGACCTCTCCTCACCAGAGCTGGCACGTCCCATTTTTTTTTTGTTCTTTTTGTTTTGCATCACTTCCTTTGGAGGCCACGGCGATGTCTGCCCCGGCCGATGCCATCATCGCTCCTCTGTGCTTGTTCATCTGTGACAGATTGATGCACGGGGGTAAACACATCGGGCTGCTGCACAAMACATCTCTCTGGTTACTCCGGCAGAGCGGCGCTGGGTTTCGCCGGGAACGGAGACAGCGCCGTACAAGGCCAAGATGGAGCACGGACGTATTAATGTCTATTGACTCAAAGTAATAGCTTCGCCAAGCCTCAGCCTGGAGGTTGTTCCAATTTAGTCGGACCTATAACAGGTCCTTCTTCTCGGAAAATAAACGACACCAGGTGGGCGAGCGTTACTGAGCGTCCAAGACCCCTTGCATCCCGCGTAAACGTGCGATCAAACACCCCGTCGCACGCAAAACAGCCGCTTTCATCTTTTTACACGTTTCAGACGGTGCTGCCGAGCCACTCTGCGAGCTGCAGGAGTCTGAATCATCCATAACGTGATGAGACAGGAAGCAGAGAAGAAGAGTCCAGCCAGAAACCGTGCTCTTTCTGTCTCCTGCACAGCGAGCGGAGCGAGCATCAAAAGAGGAAACGTGTTGGAACCTTTTCCAAAATAAAAAAAAAAACCACAACTGATGGTGACTCGAGCCAAAAAAATGCTCCCAACCAGCCAACAGTTTGTTCCCTTTAAACAGGCTGAAAGGTTGACGAGAAGCTTGAGAGCACCTGTGATACTAATGAGAATAGAATAGAATAGAATAGAATAGAATAG